CCATGATGGTAGGTCTAACCAAAACATGATTAGTCAAGGGGGTAGACCCAACAAAGAACAGCCCATAGACCTCCATGATGGTAGGTCTAACCAAACCATGGATTAGTCAAGGGGGGAGACCCAACAAAGGACAGCCCATAGACCCCCATGATGGTAGATCTAACCAAAACATGGATTAGTCAAGGGGGGAGACCCAACAAAGAACAGCCCATTGACCCCCATGATGGTAGATCYAACCAAAACATAATTAGTCAAGGGGGGAGACCCAACAAAGGACAGCCCATAGACCCCCATGATGGTAGGTCTAACCAAAACATGGATTAGTCAAGGGAGGAGATCTAACAAAGAACAGCCCATAGACCACCATGATGGTAGGTCTAACCATCTTAGTTTTGATAACCCGCTACTAAAATTCCTAGATTCAGTTATGGATTTTCTCATGTTCTGCCCATCCCCGCGTTCTATATATCACTGCTCACAGAAAGCGCACTGTACAGAATTCTTTCGCTTTTATACAGTTGTGTTCATTTTCACATTCACTTGTACGAACTCGAGGTAAAACTGTCAAAAAAGTGTAAACTACACACCATCAAACAAACTATCACCAGAAGTCCATAACTAGAATAGTCCCCTTCACGGTTCCCTGCGCCATCTTGAAAGGTAGCCGGGCCGTTAAATCGAAGCGGGACGAACGGTTAGCTTGCAATAATAGAGACCTGTGAATAATTGCCCAAGGTGTTAAAAAAGGTCTCTATTATTGCAAGCTCACCGTTCGTCCCGCTTCGATGCAACGGCCCGGCTACCTTTCAAGTTGGCGCAGGGAAAAGATATGTTTTGCCGGCGCATGACTCGAACCAATACTTTATTGCAATTATGGGTTAGAAGAAATGAATGGTCTACTTTAACCATAGTTATAGAGGGGAATGGTTAGGAAACCTATTGTTATCATGTCTTTGTTCGCTTGTGAGGTTGATCAGGTCTTGACCGTGCAATATGTTGATTTATGCTCATCCGAAATTGCAAAATAAGTAAACATAAACTCTGTCTATGGGATTATTGTAAGGAATATTCAAATATCTCATAAATCTTTAAGTATTTTGAACTAGCTGCTAAAAGAAAGATTTTGGTCTGTTCACTCAGCCATTGCCAACAATGGTATAACAATGGTAACAAAGGATTGTGCACGGTCACGCTTAAAAAAAGTGAACAATAACCTATAACAATAGAGTTTCCTAACCATTCAACTCTATTAACTATGCTTTAACGGGACTTCTGGACATACCGATACCCAGTATTAGCCTTCCGAGGATGAGGGGAAATAGGGTCGAGTTCGCATTGCATTTTGGGACTGTTTCAGGGGGACGAAATAGACGCCATCTAGGAAATATGTCTTCTACAACAGCCCTACAATACACTACAATACCAACTTAGTCGGAATGGCCAAAAGTGCATGATGATTTTAACAATTGTATGATTTTACACTCGAAAAGAATCATGGTTTACGGCTAAAGGTGCGGGAGTGTAGGAGTGTATGCGGGCAAGATGCATGAAAGACAGTCGAATCCTGCTTATATAGAATAACGCCTAAAACCCCGTTATGCAAAGTCTACCGCCGTAAGGCAACGAATTTTACCACAAATTTGCCGATAACTGGCATCCATCAGCCATTCCGATATTTTGAGGAAAAGACTGGGCCGAGGTGATAAGCAGCTGATCATGATAATGATGTTTCGGCTATTTTGCTTCTCATGCGTCAATTTTTGTTTTAGGAGAGTGCTTTATTAGAATGCTTTATTACGTATGAGTCAATATTGCCTATTGGGGTGAGAAGTTCTTATATTCTTGGTGAGGTTTCCTTTTCTTTGAGCACTAAAACGGTTGATTGTCCCGCCACCCGGCGGTCATAGGTTGTTAACATCACGTGATAGCAGTGCTGTATTTCATTGGACGTTTAACCATTAAATGACAGCCAATTCACCTTTTCGGCGATAGCCGTCACGTCGTAAACACTTTGTTGGATTGTGTTACGGTCACCAAAAAGTTCGGACATTGTTCTCGGATTCCCATACAAATGAACTGAGTTTAAAGAGAAAATTTAGATAGATTTCTTTATGGTTAGCTCTCTTAACAGCAGTAAGAAAAGCTTCAATCAAGCTAGAAAAATGATCCTTTACTTTTATTTTGGAGAACTAACTAAACAAACCAAGTAAATAGTTCATTTACAGTCAGTACATTTGTACGGAAATTCGAGAACAATGTCCGAACTTTTTGGTGACCCTAACATAATCCAAAACGATTTATACCACGTGATGGCTAGCGCCGGAAAGGTGAATTGACCATAATCACGAATATTATGGGTTAGCAAACTGAATACAGTACCGTTTCGGCCTTCAAGCCGAAAAAAATACACTATGAATCACATGTAATACAATAGATAGAATGACAATATAGTACAATAGATTTTCTTAATATTTAATCATCTGAGTGCTATATTGGTTCTCCCATGCAGTTAGCATTACAGTGGATTGCAGGACTGTAATTATGGTACATATTTCCAAGATGGTGTCTACTACGGTTTCATCGGCAGCCATTGTAAACTGGCAAACATGGCTGCCGCACCTTAAAACCACTCAAATTTAAACAAATAATAGAAGTGAACCAAGAGAAAATGAACTACGAGAAGGAATCCCCGTGGCCCATCATGTGCACACTTTGATGCTATTTTTAGAATCATTGATGCTATTTTTAGCTCGTTACCATGCCGCGCGATAATCATGCTTCCCTTTAATGCCTCGTTTTAGGACACGAAAGCGACAAAAACACAGGCTTTTGTTTACTGCAAGACTAGAAGCCGCCTACCCTTAAGAAACCAAACAATCAGGTTCTTCGCTCAAAATATCTCCAAGCTAAAAATAGCATCAAACTGTGCACATGATGGTTACAAGGATATATAGGTAGGATTCCTTCTCTTAGTTCATATTCTCTTGAGTGAACGCTACGTTCGCTGATCCAGGCAAAAAGAAAACTCTTACCAAAACACAAAGAAGAACTTTAGAATAAAATTTTTAGGTTGGGAGTTTGTAATTAAAACCGCATAGATGTCAGGTTTAAAATGTGCTACCTTTCCCCGGAATTCGCTTGAGTGACCGGCGAGGTTGGACTTGATGTATTCATACATTTACCCAGTGTATTTATCCTGAAGTTCAAAGTCGTTTTAAAATAAACCCATGTTTTTTCGTGGTCACTCAAGTGAATTAGGCCAAATAAAGTTCCGTATTTTGGTTCCCGGCTTTCCTTTATTTCGAGTTTCCCTGATGTGACGACAAATACAACCAAAAACAAGGAACCTAGTGCATCGACACGAGTGAAAAGCGCATGCGTGCACTTCAGCACGTTTTCTAAGAATTTTGAAGAGTTTGAGTGAGAAAACTAATGTTTGTTTTCTCCAAGTATACAAAAAAGTTCGAGAGTATACTGACTTTTGTCAGACCAAGATGCTGTATTAACAAACACAATATGAAAGAATTAATCTTAAGTTTCAAGCATGGCATTCAAGTTTTGGCATTTTGTGAAGTCCAATTTATAAGGCATGTTTGAAAGTCAAATTTATTTATGTTTTGACTAACTTGCATACGGATTCAGAGCATGCGCAGACGTCTTTCACTCTTGTCTAGTGCATCCTGATATGCAAAAGACTCCAAATCAACCCGTTAGAATCCGTTGTAAATAATAAAACTGACGATGAGCAAGCGATGACTGGCGTCTCCTGACTTCTAAACTCAAGAACCGGAATTATTTGAGKGATTTTTTCTGCCAAACTCTTCTCTAATTAAGAAAAAATCTAAGTAACAAACACAATTACCAAAGAATAATGGCAGTTAATGTCAAATTGGCGCTGTGAGTATTTTTTCCAACACTTCAAATCGCCCCTAAAATAGCTTTTTCAAGATGGCGGGATTGTTCGCTTCAGTTTGTCCCGCCTACATGTCCATATTTGAAGATATGACGTCATCCATTCACCATCAGCTGTAATTGCGTTCATAACTTGACTCTCGCTTGCAAATCAAGTCCACATAGTGCTATCTGTTAACGGCGTCAGCTGAAAAATCGTCGCTCGAGGAAGTGAGCATTTCTTGATCCTGCCAGTTTTTCGTCAGATTTTTGATTCATTCTCAATGGATTAAGATTTTTGGAGCCAAACGGTGACTGGGCACTGTCGAACACCACTACGAGACGTCAGCACCAAGACTAATACTGAGGAAAGCGGTAGGTAACTCACTATGGCGATATTCTAGGAGAACTAATATCTTGGAGCTGAGTGCTCGTTATTTTTTCTGATCACTTAATTCATTTACGTAGTATCATTTGTTTGTTTTATGATTTTTTTAAACAAACAGGAGGAATACCTTTGGTCCGTACCGAAAAAAATATCCCCAACGCTGGTTTATTTCATTTTATTTTATTTCATTTTATTTTTTCGCACGCCTGAGTTTTTGTTGACATATCTTTATAACTCTCTGTATATGCGTAAAACTATATGGCTCATAATATCATTTATCGACATCATGAATAACAGATATTATCACATACAGTGTCTTAAGAGTCAAATACGTCGTTTGTGGTCGTTACATTTTTAAATAATTAATAAAATTACAAAAAAAAAAAAAACTTGATCAAAAACTCATTCGATTATATTGACTCGAGTAATTTTAGTGAACTTAAATTTTCGACCAACAACAGCAGTATTAATTCATTCTAACAGTGATTACTCGTATAGACCTATACTTTAGTAAAAGATGATTTTATGATATGGTTCAAGAAGAGTTATTCTTAATAGCATATAATAGAAAAAATGTCGTAGAGTAAGTAACACATGAGAGCTAGCGACGCCGTGAAAAATCTCAAGCGTCTATATCCAGGTAGCTTTTTCAAGCCTCTGTAAATAAAGTGCTCTCAAAGTCATTTGAGGATGATAGAAAAAAAGCCAAGCAGTCGGTGTTATCGAAGTAATAATCACCATCAAAATAAAGGCAAATTCACTATAGCGAAAATCTATTATTTCTGAGGTTGATAACAAACCCAAAGAACTATCTTTGCCATTTGTATATCAGATTCATTCTGCTATTATCCGTCAGACATTTTGCATCTATATGACAGTGCTAGGATAACTGATAATTCGTATATTAATATATAAACATAGAGAATAGAAAAAACTATATCAGTTTTAAATATACGATTCTGGCTATTTTTCTTCTTTGGTGTATTTCAATTCATGATCAATTTTCTTTTCTTGTTCTTCGGCTTTCTCTCAGGGTTAGTTTATCAGTCGTGAATTCGCTCCCTTACTCTCTTTTTCTCAGATTAAATTTCTTTTTTTTATGACTTTAAGTTATTAAGAATGCGATTAATTTTTCGTTTTTTTCCGATACTAAGTACAAATTTGAACGACTCTCGAGAAAGAGAACTAGTTAATATTTCTCTGGTTAATATATCTTGAAACTGTTATAGCGCTTTCAAGTGTTAGCTCATGACAACTACTATCAACGATGTACTTTACCTATGTGAACGACATGCAGAAATTATAGAAATGATTTTAGACTTATTTCCTTTTTTATTGTACTCATTCCTCATTCTAGCAATTACTCGGTTATTGAGGAGGTGTTTCCTTTCATTTTTTCTAGTTTTTATCTTTTGTTTTCTTTGTTTGTTTTGTCGCTTAATTTGGGGTTTCTGGAACGATTGATAAAGTTATTAGCATGTGACCCTTTTCCCTTTACTTCCCTAGTTATAATTTATTTTGTTGTTGTTTTTTTCTCGTCAAGAATCTGGYAAAAAAAATAAACAATTCAGGACTAAGTATCTCAACCTTTCTAACAGAATGATTACAACAACTTGTCAAAGAGCGAAACGGCAGTCTATCAAACAACAAAAAAATACATCCTCGAATATCGAAGATTATTTTGCATTTCAATGAGTAATACTACTTGTATATTGGCATAATACATGTAAGAGTCCTCTGAGAACAAAGGATACATAACTTGAGTACGACTGCAAAAAGGATAGTCTTGATGAACTTAAAGGACTAACGTCATTCAAAGATGTATTTGTGATAAAAAATCATATGTATGCAACATTTAATTGATAAATATAAAGTATTGAACAGACGGCGAGGGATCCAAAACGTTTTTGACCAGGTTTTTTGAAGACAGCGTGCTTTTCACTTCCGCAGTTCAAGGCAAAAATGTTCAATGGAAATCAATTAAAATCTCAGCAAAATAGCTCCAATGGTAATGAGAAGAAGACAAATTCGTCGCGGACATTTTTTTTATACAGGCATTTTGAAGCAAGCGTGCTGTTCGCTTTGCAGTTCAAGGCAATGACGTAAAATGGGAATCAATCAAAAACTCTGCAAAATAACCCAAAATGAAAGAATAATGCATTCGGGGAAAGCTTTATAAACATCGCCCGGGGTATCATTCAACTAAACAAAGCTTAAGGGAATTTTGTTATATTGCCTGCCTGCCTTTGRCGCGTACGCGCGTGCATGCATACTCCGTTCGTGCTACATTCACAAGCTATAGTGATCAGAGCAAGTTCAGGTCGGTTTTACCGGGATCACACACAAACACAGCAAGTATACTAGGCTGGAACATAATCGAATTTGACCTGAAAATTAGCTTGTATCATTGTATCTCCGATACCTTGATCTAACAATGATCAACTTCCATAGACTTTGAGGAGATAAGCCATGTAAGAAAGATTATTATTGTTATTATTGCCATCTACCAACGTATCTCGAGGTGGATCGCGATGTAAAATCCAATTACTGAAAGCCCTACTTTAGCCAATTTGGCGACGTCTCCTCGTATCGATCATCAATTGTTGGTTTTAGACAATATTTATTTTTGGGAAAAAGGAAATCGCATATCTGATTAGAGTATAAATTCTCAGGTATTAATGGGTTTTTGTTGTTAGCATTTATAAACATGAAAAAGAAACAAAAACACTATTTTATCTTTCGCGAAGCTTGTACTTTGGGAATCGTAAGACCAATAGCAGGTGTTTGGGAATCGAAAATCGAAGTTTCCGGTCTGCCCACGACTTTTGATGTATTTTCAAACGAAAAGAGGTTGGCAAAACCATAATTCCCTTGAGAGCTATCATCTTCCTCTGTTAGTCGAAAAGGCTTGAAGTGCAAATTCATAGCATACAAGGAGGGGGAAAGAAAGTTTTTGGCCTTTCACTAGGCGAAAAGTAGTCAGCACCGACGATAAAAGCTGTCACAAAGCTTCAGACAACTCGTTCAATGAAAAAACAGCCATGCTTGGGGAAAATTATTAAATGAATCATTTGTTTTTCAAACTTAATTAAAAGTGATGCAGTCTGAGTATGATAATCAAGTGTTTAGTCACAATGAAATAATGGAACTGAACTGACTAGTTATCACGTTTTGCTTCAGTTTTGAATAATATTTTAAGTGGCTCCCAAAAAAGCCCTCATTGCAACCATCTTGATCAAGTATTATACGTAAATGATAACTCCTTTGCGGCCTAAGAAGGTCGAGCCTCTTTTTTGTAAAGAACCTTTTTGATAAAGTTGAAGTTGACGCTGACGTCGTTTACACGTTTCTAAATATATCAACTAGGATCCACCACAAAAACGTCCTATTTATCCTTATTTTACGATATTTGACATCAGGGATGAATTCCTGGACTTAAAGTAGAGGTGAGGGCAAATAGACTATCGCTACGATTCCCTTATACTTCAATAGCTATGCTTGGATGTTTTGTTCCCATATTTTTGGCGCGGAAAGACTGTGGATTATTGTTGTCAGAGTATAGAGGCTTTGCACCATCACGTGTCGGGCCACTAAATACGTCTTGGACTGCCTGTGGTTAGTTAGCAGAACAATAAAATCCCTTCTCTCTAGGAAATAAGCCTGAAGCGAGATGACGTTTTACCCCCGTCTCTAGACCATAATCCTTTTCACACTCCTTTTGTTCTTTAATTATTACTATTGTTCCTGTATTCTCTAAGGAATCAAAAATTTTAATATGAAAGAATTTAAAAAACTATTATGGTATAGAGTCGGGGGTAAAACGTCATCTCGCTTCAGGCTTATCGAATTCTTTTTCATGTAAAACGATTGTACGATGGTCACATGATGGTGCAGACCTCTTCCCTTCGAGCGCCGCCATCTGGAAAAAAAGCGAGAAGAGAAGGCCCTGGGAACGAGGTTCACCCACGAACACAGTTAATAAGCAGGGCGCACACCAACTAGCTGAATCTTCTTAAATCAATATATTTGAGTAAATCCTATTCAAGGTATCAGCTTTGCGGCAAAAAAATAGTCTCCTTCACAGCCGTCACTAGTTTCGCTAATGACGACTGCGAGGAGACTACAGGAAAAGGAACTATAAAGGATTTTTGCGAGTTTCGGTCTCTTGCATTGGTAGTCCAAATAAATACACAGGCATCCCAGTACAAAGTGAGTCAGTTAGTACTTCGGGGAATTTTAAAATTCAAAAATTCTCTCTCGACTTGAGAAAATGAAACACCACATATTTTCGTTGTCAAAAAGTCAAGCACAAGTAAAAGCGAAGACCTAGATTAAAGTCTGCGGATCCTGGTTCTCGTTTGGTTAAATTTTCAAGTTTATGAACAATTTTTTTATATTAAATTTTTTTAACGATATAGATGAAACTGAAACAAGATATAACTTATTTCTAAGGCAACCACAGAGGTCTGAAATAGGAAAACCTTACATTAAGGGTGATAAAGAGTATAGTTTGCAATCTGGTTGCTGACGTCATACTCAAGTGTATGCGCATCCTCTACCTTGTCTCTTAGAAAAACTTGAGCTGTCTCACTGTATGTTAAGTGACGTAAATACTTCGAATCCAGAAGTCTGTTTTTAAAGTACGTGCTCCTTTCACTTCCTTTTACCAAGTCCTAGCAGGGGAAGGAGATTTATCGCATTTTTTATCGTACACCGACGCGTGAATCGAGTATAAGATCGACAATTTCATTAATTTAGCAAAAACGTCAGTGTAGGTTAATCGATAAGGTGGTTAACGTGTTATTTGCTCAACCGGGTAGTTGAACCGGATATTTTCATTAGAAATTTAAACTGCATCCGGTTTCTAAAAATAGCCACCAAACGCGCGATATTAAGAAGTATCCCTCTCTTAAGGACAGAATTAGACGGTACGATTTTCGCCTACAACCATCGCATGCAACCTGCTCACGTCATACTTACGACATGAGTTGTTTCGTGTAATTCTGCCCTACAACTCACTCAAGTCTGTTGTAGGCGTGTGGATCTGACCTAAGTCATGTCGTAAGTATGACGTGAGCAGGTTGCATACGATGGTTGTAGGCGAAAATCGTCACGTCTAATTCGGCCTTTATTTATTCTCTCTTGCAATTGACGTGTTTTTGCTCAGCCGGGCTAGTAGAACGAATGTTTCAAATTAGATTTAAAATAACTCAAATAAACCCTTTTCAGGGTGCGACTTCAGTATTGTTGTCATTCCCTAGAGTACTATTTCTTTGTTTAACGGTTGCGCATGAGTAGAAATATGACGCCGTCGTAGATTTTGTAAATCTTAAACTATGACGTATGAGGAGTAATCATTTAATATACAAAACATTACTGGTACAGATTAATTCAATTTGAAATACGTCATCGTTTTCCCCATCGCGCACATAGACATTTTTGCAAGTTAGTTTAGCCGGTGTTTCGAATTACAAGGAACAACAAATAACCATATCATGAATGCCTCCTCATACGTCACAGCATTAGCATATGACAAGGAAAAACCTTCATAACTTCCAGAAGCCGCACTCAAACTATGAAAGTTTTTCGGGTCATATGCATTACTCCATGTAGAATCATTACTGAGAATGTTGTCAGAAGGCTGACATGGCAAAACTTTACGGGTAAGACAAGAAAGGGTTACTAACTTGAATGTGTTTAAATCATCACATTTTTTATTACTGTATTTCTAGTCACAGATAAACCTAACAAACCCGTCAGATTCGCAGCAGCCTGCCAAGTCAAACATCCCACATTCATGGATCAAAACAGAAAGGGCACCAGAAAAGACACTCCTGCGCATGTGCAGATGCCTAGTAAGTGTTCCGTTCACCGTCGCTACTTTTGGTGTCTTTTTTGTTCTTTTTTATGCGTGACATTTTTTTGTTGACCTCGTGCAGGTCCATTTCGGCGGCAAGTAAGAAATATGCCGTTGGAAACAAAACTCGAAGAAGAAGAAAAAGATTGTCAAAATGAAGTTATTATCAAAGAGAATCATGACAACCAGTCCGTTCCAAGGAGCAAGGTATGATTTACCAATATATACTGCTACTTGAATAATTACCTTAAGTTAGCCTGATATTATTCCTGATAGGATAAGAAGCTTTCATTTCTTAGGTACGAAAACATGCGAAATAGGTAAATTACGAGCCTTGTATGAAACGACTGAAGAAGAGGACCAGTGGGCCTTTCACAACTCCAAGTCGCGTAAAAAAATGAGCCAGCTCAACTAGAAACCGTGGATAGCTGTTTCAGCCTGCTTTCCGCCTCATCTCTAATGTTTCTAAGGTACAGGAAGGAGTAGAGGTGTTCCTGTTAATAATTGCCACTATAAGTTCGCCTGCATAGATCCTTCATAGTAACGTTCTAGGGCTTTCCGATTTGTAAAATAGAGGAAGGAGTATGGAGGTGTTTCTGTTAATAATAGCCGCTTTAAGTTCACCTAGATCCTTCATAGTAACGTTCTAGGGCTTTCACTTCTACGAGTTACAGGAAGGAGTATGGAGGTGTTTCTTTGCTTAGAGACGACCTTCGGTGTCTGTAGGGTGAGGGGGTTGACAAGTTTTTAAGATTTGTTTTAAGATTGCCACAAAACTGACCGTTTTCCAGGCTGTAGAAAGAGAGAGAGAGAGAGAGAGAGAGTCATACCACGACAAGAAATTTTGTCAAACCTTTTCCCACATCCTCTCAAACATCTCTTCACATCTCTTTGCTAAAATTTCGATGTTTATTTCGTGAACGTGTGTGGGTGTTTTTTTTTGTTTGTTTGTTTTTTCTTTTTTGTTTTTTTGTTTTTTGTTTTTTTTTGTTTTTTTTGTTTTTSTTTTTTTCATTTCGTGTGATGCCATTCTTGAGGCATTATTAAACATCTATGACAAACATTTTTTGGGGCAGTAAAACATCCTCTATAAACATCATTTTCTTAGGCCTAGGGCAAACGTCGAACTTTCCATGCACCGAACTCATTAAAAACAATGAATATCAGGTGATAATGAGGCGATATTCTTTGATGTAATTAAGTCCGGTGCATGGAAAGTTCGACGTTTGCCCCAGGCCTTAYTTACTTACTCAGGGTATATAGGAAGGTTATACCAAATTTCTTTTCTCATTTCAATTTACAAATGACGACAAATAAACTGAAATCCTTCTTTGACATCCGCTCACTAACATATTGGAAGTATAAACTGATATCTCCAAGGTGCATCGCTCAAATCATATAAAAATATTTTATCATTCAACTATTCACTTCAATGATAATCAACACTGAAAATATTGAGTTAGAGGTTCGTTCGTTCGTTCGTTCGTTCGTTCGTTCGTTCGTTCGTTCGTTCGTTCGTTCGTCTTTTGATCAGCCTAAATTTTTATACTAAAACTTTGTTTTCACATTTTTCTTGCGTTTTTTTACGATTGCATTTTTATTTCCGTGTAGTCTTTCCCTTTTACCATATTTTTTTGCTAGAATTACGGCTCAGTAATTAGTTATATTYGCGCTTCTCTCTTTTCAATATTTTCAAGATGGCGGCGAAAACGAGAGAGACTGTGGACGAGTATTTTGGTTCCCAAAGCACGCTGGGTCCAAGTTTTCGGGACCCATAAGTCCTTTCGGTCATTGTACCGTTACAGCCTCTAAGCGTGTAGACGGAACGGACGAGCGAGAGACTGTGGAAGAGTCTAATATTAGTTTCGGACCTTGAGGAACGAAGTCTTTATCGATCAATATTCATTTATCATTTTTACTATGTAGCTTTTCCAATCATGAAAGATCCTTCATGCGTTCAACACACTATAAGTACCACCCACCTACGAAAACAAACGCACAATTTACCACACACTAAAGTTACTAAGGCCTAGGGCAAACGTCGAACTTTCTATGCACCGAACTTAATTACATCAGAGAATGCCGCCTCATTATCACCTGATATCCATTGTTTTTAATGAGTTCGGTGCATGGAAAGTTCGATGTTTGCCCTAGGCCTAAAAACGTTTATTATCAAATACACTTACAGTTAGAAACGTAATCAATTATGGGTAATGTTCTGCGACCACTCGCGTCTCACCTCTAGGGTTTTAAGTTCGATTCCTAGACTCGGCATCACACATAAGTAGTAAATTAATGCTTTTAAAATAAACAAACTATGAATTCCTCTTTTGAAACGATTTAAAACCAATTTGTTTATTTGACCTTCCAAGCGGTACTATCTGTAAAAGAGTACCGTCTAGAGGGACGGCGGTACACTCATTTGACTAAAAGTGCTAAAATTACAAAAGGAAGGTCGTAAACTCCTTTCCACTTTGAGACCATTGAGACTTAATTTAATGCTTATTGAGCAAGACGCCTTATAGGCGTTCACTGGGTTGCCTGCACCACGCACAGAGACCTGGTACAGCTGAAGAAGTTTGCAATGTTAGCCAAAAGATGATGGAATGTTTCACAGAAAAGAACGATTTCGTTTAACTCAGTCGTTTAAGACCATCTTCTGTCTCAAGTTGTTCTCTACATAATATTAAAATAATTGTAGGTTTCGCCCTTTTTTAGGCTCTGAAATAAACAGTTTTGCGTTGTGCATGTCACACTACTTGCGAATTTGATCTTGCGCCATAACGCAACGAGATCAAATATCGCAATGCTCTCAGTTAGAATCACCAATTAATTTTTTATCTTTTTATCATGCATCCTTTGTGATTATATTATTTGCTGGAGTGCGTGTTTGTTTTCCTTGTCAGAAAATGTCAGAAAACTAGTCCGTTGTGGGCATATGATATAGAGATCCAAGTGTAGTAAATATTCTTGTAGGCAAACTTTGCCAGATCGACTTTTTGTAGCCTGCTTTCAGCCAGTATAATTTCTCTCGAAATCATACCTTTGCGGATCGATATTGCTTATATGTGACTGATAACGTCTGGTCGAACTTATACAGGCTTATTACCTAAAACGGAATTCTTGAAAAACGGTTTTAGTTATAGTGGTGCTAAGCTTATGGAATACCCTGGGTGCCAGAGGCCGTGTGAGGCTTGGGGGCGAGAGCCTCTGGCACCCAGGGTACTTATGGAATGCACTACCAGAGGAAATACGAAGCAGCAAATCGCTTACATCCTATAAACGGAAATTGTAGATATCACTCCTTTGGCCTTTACTATCATATATAATCATATATCACAATATATTATACTTACATTAGTTTTTTATGTATATATTTTTAAAAGCATTTCTATTGCGGCACGCCCCTAATGGAAACCAGCATTTGTTGATTTAGGCTGGGGTGTGTAAATAAAGTTAACCTTGACCGACTAGGAATAAATCTTTTTAAACTAAAACAATTTCCTTATTATTGAAGATTTAAGTCTAATAAAAATGGATTAAAAAAAAAGAAAGATCTTATGTTTATAAGATGGGGTTCAAACCTACCAAAAGGAATTCAAAAAAAAAAAAAAAAAAAAAAAAAAAAAAAAAAAAAA